GACAAGGGATCTTTGTTTTTATGTATCACATCATAGTGTACTACATGATTTTACTTATTTTCGCAAGTAATACAAACCCAAAAAGGAAATTGAATGTGAAAATAAACAAAGTACGGCGTTAGTTTAGAGGGATATAAGAATAGAATATCTCTTCCTATGTATAAAATTTTGCTCCCGACGTTTTAATTAGTGCATTAAATTCGGTTTAAATTTTAGTTTTTGAGTATTTTCGCTTTCTTTTTTTCGCACGTGTTCGGATTCGTCAAAATTGAACTCGCTGATTGGCTGTTCCTTTTTAGGGATTTGTATTACTTGCGAAAATAAGTAAAATCATGTAGTACACTATGATGTGATACATAAAAACAAAGATCCCTTGTCCATTCCTGCATTCAAAGTAACGCTATCTCAAAAATCTATTTATTTTTTGGCTATTTTTTTCTCAGTCATTTCCTTAAATACAGTACTACTAGGCAAATGGAAGCCATTTTAAATCCGATCAGCCCGACAAAACGGATATAATGTTGCTTTTAATCTGGTCAACCAATCAAGATCCAAAATTTGCACACACACACACACAGACATCGGGGTGACTATGCCTTTACCGTAATGTCCTTCAGACAATTATTTATATCAAGGTACACAATATCAGAATCACCACATTATCTAATAATATCTATGTAACTTTCGCTTTTACAGTTCTCGAAATGGTTAAGCGTACAAAAATTATCGTGTCTACGGAGAAGCTAGTTCTGTTGAGATCGGTATTTAAAATGTTTAATCGGCATTTAAAATTACCCGTAAAATATTTTTCGGTATTCGTGTTCCGTATCAAAAAGAGGAGTTAAAAGTAGATACATCATTATATTGCATTTACAGTTTTAAGTCTTTTAACTATTTTATTTTGTTTTATCAATCTAACGTTATACTTTTCTTTGCTTTACCTTAGCTAAATCGCGCAATATTACAATTCTTTTTTTTATGTTAATTAAAGTGCACAAATTTATTTTTATTATTTACATGAATTTATGTGTTATGTTTTAAATTAATTGCCATTTTAATGACTGGTCATGTAAATTTTCAGGATTTGCCCATCTGAGGAAAGAAAATTTTCAAATTCACAAAGTCAATTCCTGGTGATCCTATATAGTTATTGAATGCGAACGGTTTTTGACAAATATTCTTTGTAATAAACTTTAGTAAACTACTGAATAAATGTTATTAAAAAGTGTATTGCATGTGTATGACTTTGAGATGATGTGATTTTTGCGCATTATGACTTCTTAACTTTAAATCATTAGGACTTTGATCCATTTTTTAATTAAAATGTACATTTTAACAACTTAAAATAGTTAGAAACAAAATCCATTTAGTTAATTATGTGCGTTATTATTAGAAATAATTAATACATGCACAAAATATTGTATTCATTCCCTTTCTGGCATGTATTCGCGAAGCAGCTATTGTGATATGAGGAAAGTTCTCTCGGATGTTTAAATATAATATGTTCCATTCACCTTACCTAAATCACAATTTAACGCCAATTACATTGTTACACCGTTTTAAACATAAAGACAGCCTTGCAGAATTTAATTGGCTTGCTGCAATCTTAATAAATTTACCATAAATGGAAATGATAAACAATAATACATAACCGAATTTTAAGTGATTTTCATAGTGGCTGAAACACTCACTGTGGCTAATGAGATACACGCGAACGCGAACCCGAAATGTTTTCCATTAGAAAATTACATTTGTCATCATATACAGTAATATGTACTTTTTTTTATTAAAATTTTTTTTTCAAACTTACCAAAACTTAACAAAATTTAACATGATATATAACTTGAATTGTTGATAGATCTTACGGCTTAAAAGGCATGCCTTTACAATTTATACATACATCTATTATAGCTAACTATTGTAATAAAAATGCTACAACGTAAAGAATAAAATGAAAACTTTCATTAAAATAAATTATGTCTCGAATAATATAATATATCTATATATAAATAATAAAATAAAATATATGAAAATAAAAAATTGTTCTGATACATATAGTACGAAAAATGTTCGTATCGATAACTTTATAATGGAAACAAATAGGTAACTATTTGTGGTCATTATAGTAGGCCTGGATGTCAAAATATTTCTCAAGTTCAATGATGTCAACATCGGAAGCAACGCCATTAATATCAAAGGTTGATGCGATCTCAACCACTGTAGTATCTTCAAATAATTCAGAATTTATCGAAATAGATTCATTTTTATCTTTATTGTCATTATCCTTTGGTTTACATTTTGGTTGATATTTATAATTAGGATACATTTGTTTATGACGTTTATCGGCTTCTCTTTCCAAAACTTTGAAAAAGTTTTTCACAATTGGGGGTTGTCGATTCCATTCCAGTTTTGCATTCTTTGAAATCATTTTTGCATTTAATTTTTTTGATTTATTATGATTTAAAAGACGCATTCTCTCATTATAGTCTTTACGAAAAAGAAGGAATGAGTTCTGGGGTCTTGGCAGATGTGTTAAACTTCTGCGACTTGGGGCCAATAAGATATCCAAGGGTAAAACAAGATAATAAGGAGGATTCGCTATTTGTTGAGCGAAAAAAGAGTCATGATCATGTTGTAAAGTTGGAGAAGATAAGAATGTTAGGGTATCGTGGATAAAGTGCGTCATGAATAAGAATTGACAAATTCTGAAAGATTAAATATAGTAACGAGGTATCTATTGATCGGGTTATTGATCGAGATATTCAAAATTTTGCAAGTAAAAAAAAATACATATATCAGATATATTTTATTGCGATGTTTTGATTGTTTCTCTGTTCTTGATCGATGGTAAGATCTCATTTTTATCTCCTTTTATATTAAAAATTTCTTTGAAAACGCGTGGCACGGTATGTGGCTAGTGGATCGTTATGTGCGAACGGTGCAACTGTGAAAATTATGTTACACTATCCCCGGAAATAAAAATCCACATAAAACAGCCATTTATTTCATTAAGGCTAAATGGTGAAATTGATGTTGGTTAATAATTACCCCATACCATCACAAAGTATGTTTTTTATAAAACTTATATAATTCTATTAAGTTATATATAATTTTTATGGATACGTATCATTTCACCGACAATCACTTCACCGACATCTTAG